CATATATAGTTTTTTATAAGTATTCAGTAGTTGCAGTTGTTTCAGGAAAAAAATCTTTAAAATTCTCATTTTGGCTTCTTTTCATAAATGTGTAGTGTCACTAGTACTTTTTCCACATGTCCTTGCTAAAAAAATTCATTTTATTGACTGCCCCCCTCCCCCCCCCCCCCCAAATAAAACTTTTTTTAAGACAAGAGAAATTCTTTTAGCTAATCTTGTTTTGGCACTTTTGGAACTCATGGTTTAAAAATGTCACCATTTTATAAATGAAAGTTAGAATTCTCAATATAGAATGCAATATAGTTCCATGATCAGAACATTGTGAGTAGGGTTGGATTCATGCAGAATATATGTAGCATTGTGTTTTATTTCTTGACTTGATTCATTGCCTCTCTCCTTTTTCTCTTCTATGTTAAGACGACTATGTTGAGGTATATAGCTGCTGTTTTCTTTCATATTGCACTTGAATAGGCCACGTCTGTCCAAAAAAGCAATATTTCTCAGCATCATATTGTAGCCTCATTAATAGTCTCAGTTAGCTACATTTCACCACTACAGCAGCACAGAGCAGCAGCTATAGGATTTTCCAGCAGTGTTTCAGAGAACAACTTTTGAGTTCTATGCCTTTAATGAGCAGTTCCGGAAGTCCTGTTTCACTGAAAAAACACCTGCGCAGCGTTATTGCTGAATACAATATTTCTATTACATCCAAGTAAAATTCTGTAGTACTTGTTCTCCAATGTGTTGTGTCCTTAACTGTAGGTGGTAGAGCATGTGGGACAAAGATGTAGAAATTTATATTGAACTTGGAAAATGTGTCACTTTTAAAAATCTTATTGATGCTCACTAATATTTTGCCTCCAAGATATTTTACAGTGCTAAATCGTGTCCAAATAAAATCATGAATATAATTCCTAAATTTTAATGGACTATTATTATGTCAGATTTTTTGAAATAAATTGAAGTAACCATTATTTCTGGTTGAAAACCTTATTGTGATTTTATAAACATATTGCCAAGACACAATTTTCCATAAAATAAAAAGATGCTACCAATACTATCAAATCTTAACTATAAAAAGAATCTTTAGCTAAAAGAAATGGTGGGCAAAAAAATTCCTAAAACAGTACTAGGTTTAATGTACTAAATATATAAAGATATCAATATGGGAATGAGAATAACTAGGCAGAAATGGAACATAAGTGAGGAGGGATAGAACTCTCCTCTCCATAACAGTGCAATGCAAATTGAACATGTTTAGGGGCTACAAAATGGTAATTCCTAGGTTGCTGCAGAGGACAATGAAATGGCATATCCTGGAGAAAGTTGGCACTTTCAACAGAGGTATATTACATGGCTATATTCATGATAGGTTTTTTTTCCAGCACGGCATTTTATGTAATTTAACATACTAAATTAATAAGTAAACTGAACAAATTAATTAAAATACTATCCGTGATTATAGTAAAATATAATTTGCAATATATAATTGAAATCATATAGTTCTAGTCAGCATTCACATGTGTCACTTTAATTTTAGTTTTCTGCTTGTGGCTTTCCTGTGCATTTACTTGGCCGTATTTAGTCTGCATACTAAAGGTTAGTCTGCCCACTTGCATTATTCTTTGTGTTGTCAGCTTCTCCTTTCCTTGGTCAAGATTGTTTCAGATTTCAATAGATATCATTGCGACGGGCCGGCTTTTAGACCCAAGTGCTAAGTTTTAGTCCGCAGACTAAAAACTAATCCGCGGATTATTTATGCAAGCAATTCCCTCACTGAAAACTACATGAAAAACAGTAACAATTCTCTTCAAAACATAATAGTGAGGGCAGTTCACAGCTAACAGTGAACTTTACAAGATGTCCTTTGACACCTATGCACAATAGAATGCTGAAAACATCCCTTGTTTTGGTAGCCCCATTGTGCTTAAGTGTTGGCAAACTGTATTATTGACTGTTTGACCTGTAACTGTGACAGTCCCTTGCTTTTAATGTTGTTTGTTTGTATGTGGTTAAGTAGTTCTTAGTGGGTGAATAAAGCATCAGGACAGATTGGGGTGAGAAGAGTTAAAGAATGCAGTTAAAGAGTGTCTTCCTGTCATCATCAGTTGCTCTTAAAAAAGAAAAACATAAATCCCCTGTACTTATAAATGACTGAGGGCATAAGGGAGGAAACCACAATAAAGGGGAAAGTAAGTTAGGTCCTACCATCACTCCTGAAGTGTCATGTCCAGTTCCTGAAGCATCCTAATGAAATATCAGCTAAAAATCTAAATGCTAAAAAATCCATTGGCGGGGAAGTCAATCCAAGATGAAGAATAATCCGCGGTGGCCTGGTGTAGTTTATAGACATTTAAAGTGGTCATCTTAGAAATGAGAAACTTAATTATTCTCTCTCTTAGAAGTGTTATATGAGAACACTTTTCAGTTGTGCTTTTAGGATAAACAGGAATAAATGAGTCTGTGCATGATTGCATGTCTCATGCTCCTTCCTGTGTCTATCTCTCTCCAAGATAGGGAGGAGATCTATAGCTTAGTTCTGAAAATTCAATATAATTTTACTTTTATACAGACATTTGATTTCATATTTTTGTTACTTTTTAGTAAAATCACTGGCATTGGAACATGCATTAAAATAAAATGTTTCTATATTATGCCTCAGCTTTGCAAAATTATTCTTATTAATTTTTTGAGTTTGGACTTGCTGCTGATGTTTAAAATTTCTAATTGTATTAAACATTTAATATTTCCCCATCACTTTGGATTTCTTATAATATTGGATATATTTTTCCTTGCTGGACTATTCTTTTGGATTGACTCCCCCTGTTTGGATTATTTCACTGCATTATCATCCTTAGGACTCGTCAGGAACAGGACATTTCACCTCAGGAGTACGGGTATGTATATAATTTTTTTTCCATATCACCAGGTTAATTGCCGGGGAAATAGAAAATTAGAACTGAAAAGTTTACACCAAGTTATTAGACTCCAAGGAGCAGTCAGCTAAAATTCTCTTCCTAGTGTAAAATTAGATGTTTGGGAATAGAAGTAACGTTTACATTTTTCAACATTTATGCAAACATCTCATGACTCATCTCAAGTTTCCAAAGAAAAATAACTCCCTGATAATGCTTGAAATTATATTGGCTGCTTCAATTTTAATTATAGAGCATGAGGAGATATACGAGAATAATTTCTGCTAGTTTATTAGTGAATGCTATATTAATCGTTTCCCCCAAAATAAAGAAAAGCAAACTAAAAATTGTCATAGTTAGAGATGATAAGACTTACCGTATTTTTCGGAGTATAACACACACTTTTTTTCCCTCTTAAAGAGGTTGAAAATTTGGGTGCGTCTTATACTCCGAATGTAGCTTTTTTGAAGCTTTTTTTCAGCCCTAATGAGGCGCTAGTGAGTGAAGTGATCTCTGTGGTTTGCCTGCTTTTCTCATTGCTTCTTTCTCCAAAGATCAGTTGTGCTTTAGAAGCTGATTTTTATCTCCAAGCAGAGGATAAAAACCAGCAAACTAATGTGCTGAAGCTGACCAGACTAAGGACGCTAGCCAGATGAATACCTGGTAGGCAGTCGTCCACACCCCCCCCCCCATTTTCCTCCCCAAAAACTACGCTGCGTCTTATACTCCGGTACATCGTATACTCCGAAAAATACGGTATATTCTAAAAGATCTGGCGGATGCTAGATTAAGTATGTTTCTTTACAAATATCCCCTTTGTCTGTAATCAGTAGATTGATTTGCACTTGGAATTTCGTATTGGGGCAGAGATACTATGTGGGTAATGTGTTTAAGAGTGAACATTGTATAGATCACAAAAAGGTGTGAAAATATTATGCCAAAAGAGATATGGCATAAGGTAAGAAAAGGGAATATAGCTAAAACTAATTCTTCATAGTCTTCCATTCATTTCTGTCCTCATACAAAGCATCCTTGCTTCCATCACATCCATTGCCTTTTGGTTTGTATCACCTTTGGAGATTGAACAAAATCTAGTAATCATGTACTGAAGTGTCATTCAGAATAATTATCTGGCTAAGAGGCTTGTTTTCCCTTGAGGAAAAAAAATGTCGATCTTACTACACAAACTCCCAACAAGAATTTGAAACATACAGATTTCACTTTTTGATGAGATTTCAAAAAGCAACAATTGCATCCTTAATAGAAAATTCCCAAATCCATATACTCTTCTATTTTTCAAAGAGGGATCATACAATTCATCCAGGGTTTGTAGTGAAATACTTTAAATTTCCTTGTTCTGTAATATTTGTGTTTGCCCATAACAGTAAAGCAATGAAACTTTTTCAAGAACAAGTTGAAATAAGGAAATAGAGTCTAAAGCAGGAAGCTGAGTTTTTTTTTAAAAAAATGACCAGGAGCTTTGATGGCACAGTGGTTAGAATGCAGTATTACAGGTTAATTCTGCCCACAGTCTCAAGTTCGATTGTGATGGGGTTTAAGATTGAGTCAGCTTTCCATCCTTCCGAGGTCGGTAAAACAAGGACCTAAATTATTAGGGGCAATATGCTGATATTGTGAACCACCCAGAGAATGCTGTAAAGCAGTATGGAGTGGTATATAAGTCTCAGTACTATTGCAACAACAACAATAAAAATAATAATAATGTGACATTAATGTCACATATCATTTTAATACATAACTCTCAAAATTACCTAAGAATCATAAAACTATGCACATCTAATGAATCAGTGAAAACACTTTAAAATAAAAATCAAAATTAGTTTCCAAATTGGATATCTAAAAGAAAAGTTTGGACCAATGCATTGATTTCTTTGCTCTTAAATTCTATCCCCACTGTTCATCTCATCATATATGTTATTACATGTGTAAGACTATTTTTCAATCTCTTATCCATTCACTTTCAAAATGTGTGCCCAAGCACAATTACTACTGTATTGTGTTTTCTATTCAGAAGCTGCTATTGCAATAGTTCCCCTCATATTATTTTCATCTGAAAATTATCAGGTCTATAAAGCAATTGCCGCTCTTGGAATGAAAGAATTAGGAGAACAGCTGAGAGTGCCTCATCACTCTCCTGGCTTAAGTTATAAGGTAAGGCAAGGCTAAGTGAGATGAAACAACATTCACAGGATTTCAAATCCTGCTTTTTCAAGTCCGTTTACAGAGGGAAAATTGCCTAGTGTATGGATTGTGGGAGTATCTTCCCTTTCACACGGTTTTCTCCTACAAATCAAAAACTGGATTTCAGTGCAATTAGAAGAAAGGAACTATATGAGGATGGGTGTTTAAGTATGTGAGTGAGTGAGAGGTGTTTCCCGTGATGAATTGGAGTAGGAAGAGTTGTACTCTCCTCTCATCATCCCATCACTCTGTTACATCAAAGTTGCCTTGTCAAAAGATGCACGCATGCTTCAGCATTAGTTTGGGATTTTTATATAGTGGTTAAAAATTGTTTAGCATTTTGGTTCTTTTGGTTTTCATTTACTCTAAATTCTATTCTGTTCTGTTTTAATCTGGTGTTTGGAACTCTCCCTCAAAAGTTTTGATTACTTTTAAAAACTCATCATTTTTATAGTAGTTTATAAAATTAGGTTCAGTCTCTTCCTGTCTAAATTAGAGGCTAGAATAACTTTGAAGCACTTTCCATGTGGTTGAAGTTAATGCGTCTTTTAAAAATGTATTTATGCAGATCTGCATTTGATTTCATATGTGGTCTATATGCTATTGTGTTCATTTTGTGGAACTGTGAATTCAGTTTATCACACAATACACTAAGGATTTAACCATTGTTTATCCTCCCAAGGCTTATAGGGCACATTCCACATAAGTGAAAAAACAGTTTAGAACTAGAACACAACCCATGGAGTCAACCCATTCTACTGATTAATTGTTTTCACTGTCAGGAAGTTTTAACATTTAAGGCAGTCCTGAATCTCCAAGAAAATCTGCAGTGCACAAGTAATGTTTGTATGTTGAGAATATACAATATTTTAATTAATTCCTTGCCAAGTAATTTAAAAGAGCCACTAAAACTATTAACAAATTAGCGTAAACCAGTTTGATAAATCCAAATCTATGTTTTGGATTTAGTTCTAATTAAATGGGATTATATCAATCCTCAAAATATCCCGTCACTTGCTTTTTCCACTTTTCCAGCCCATCTGCATAACCTAGTGGTATCATTTATGTTTTTAAAGGTATTATTTCCTTTGTTCCTAAATTTCCTCAGATTGGCGCTGGATGTCCGTCATGTCCTCAGGGATTTTGTAAATTCAATTTTATTCAGTATAACTCCTTGCCAATAAGCATTTTTGCCTTAGCCAGTTGGTAAAAATCGGATGTTAGCTTTTTAAAAATAAAAACAAAATAATACCTACACCAGCTTAATTGTTCAGGTCATAGTCTGTTAATAAGAGTAAAACAAAATGGTCAGCCTGCCCTCTTTTTTTCCCCATAGGTCTTCCGACCCCGCACTCCACCAGAAGCAATAGCTCTATGTAGCCGTCTGTTGGAATATACCCCAACTGCCCGCCTGACTCCACTGGAAGCATGTGCACATTCTTTCTTTGATGAATTACGGGACCCAAACATCAAATTGCCAAGTGGTCGAGAGAAACCTGCACTCTTTAACTTCACTACTCAAGGTAATTTTGAAACATTATGCCAGAATATGGCATCCTCTCAAGTGAAGTTAGGGTGAATGATGGATAAAGTGTTGGGCACTTCAAAAGAAAATACTCTTTCTATAGCATAGACAAAATACTCTTTCTATAGCATAGACTAGAGCCGTGATGGCGAACCTATGGCACGCGTGCCACAGGTGGCACGCAGAGCCATATCGGTGGGCACGCAAGCTCAGCTCCAGCTTCTGGGCTCACCAGTCGGCAATCAGGCCATTTCCAGCCTTCGGAGGGCCTCCGGTGGGGTGGGGAAGGCTGTTTTCACCCTCCCCAGGCTCCTAGAAAGGCTCTAGAGCCTGGGGAGAGTGAAAAACAGGTCTACCGGGCCCACTGTGCCATCATGTGCCAAAAGCGGAGGGAGCACGGGATGGGTGGGGCGCATAGAATTATGGATGAGGGCACACGTGCGCATGACTCCTCCCACACTCCCCCCGCTTTTGGCACGCAATGGTAAAAAGGTTAGCCATCACTGGACTAGAGGGTTGGAACAGAAGGAAACATTTGCAAATTTTGTGTCTGTGTTCGTGTGGGTGTAACCAGTTCATTCTTGATAGAGACAAATGATGTAAAAAGTAATTGAACCCATAATCTAAATGATCTCTACACAGTTGGCAAGTCATTTCCTAATTGATTATTAATAAATGAATTATTAATAAATGAATGTAGATGAGGTTATAGTCCATAGTGCAATAATTACATGAATAAGAACACTGAATAGTCAATTTTTTTAATGAAGATTATTTTTGAAATATAAAATAGGAAGCATATACACACAGTGGGATTAAATATATTTTCAAATAGTGCTAAATATTGTTAAAGAGCCGTGGTGGCTCAGTGCTTAGAATGCAGTATTGCAGGCTACTTCTGCTGACTGCCGGCTGCTGGCAATTTTGCAGTTCAAATCTCACCAAGCTCAAGATTGACTCAGCCTTCCATCCTTCCGAGATTGGTAAAATGAGGACATAGGCTGTTGGGGGCAATATGCTGACTCTGTAAACTGCTTAGAGAGGGCTATGAAACACTGTGAAGTGGTATGTAAGTCTAAATGCTATTGATACTGCTAAATAGAATCATTATTTGGTTTCATATTTTTTGGAATCACGTCTGTAGCTCAAACTTGCTGAAGAGACAAAGTAACCAACTAAATAGTTCCTTTGTTGCTGTCATAGGAAACATTTTAAAAGCAGTGTCTTCTCAGTACTATAAGGGAAACTACCCCTTTTCAGATTATTTTTCCTGCCCACTTTTAGTAGTAAAAATAATATTTTTCTAAAAGCAGTACTTTTTAATTAGAAATGTTTTGATATATTAATGTAGGAAAATCATTAAAAAAATCCTATATAGCTGGGAATAAGTTGTGTCTGAATAGGTATACATTTGATCCAGGAGTGGGTTTCAAAACCCGTCGCTATCGGTTCGCTCATGGGCAATGCTTCTGTGCATGTGCAGAAGCATCCAGGCAGGTGGGTGGAGCCTCCCACTGCTGCCGCTACTGGTTCATCTGATCCGGAACGAACTGGTAGCAACCTACCACTGATTTGATCTTAGCCAAAAGGCCAAGAATCCTCTGAATAGGTATGTGTAGGACTTTACTATTATTAACGCAGTTCTGTTTGGAAGAATAGTTATTTGTACAAAAAGTGAAAGTAATTCTTCATGCCTGAGCATTTTTCATTTTAGTCCCCCCAAAATATGTATATTTTTTAGTAGATGCCCAGTGGCACTTGAACTGCACAGCTGCTTTTAAAGAATCTATCATGCTAAGTCAGATCATTGATTTGTCTGTGTCAGAATTATCCATGCAGCTTGTCAGTGGCTCTCCAGACAGATTTTACTCTAGTGGAATTCGCCTTTAGCTTGGAATATAGTTTGGGCACTTGAAGTTTCTTAAGCACAACTCTGACTAATTTTATGTGTTCTGGCATTGTGTCAGTATAGATTAAAATGTCATCCAGGTAAACTAACACTTCCTTTTACAGGTGTTCATGCAGCACTTTGTTTATTAGCTACATAAACACAGCAGGGGCCCCTTGCAGTCCAAAAGGGAGGATCGGGAACTGGAAGCATCCTAAGGGGCAATTGAAATCTGTTTTCTATTTATCCCCTGTTTTAGTCTCTTGCTTATGATGGATTGTCTGTTTTAGTTTTTTGAAAAAAGCATTATGGCACATGATCTACAGTTTTGATAGAAAAAGGCAAAGTATTTTTTTAAGTGTTAGAAACAGTATTGACATTCTTCCGTCCTTCCCATATGCCTCACAGCACTGTGCTTGGCAACACTGGTGGGATTTAACTTTATTCCTTTATTTTTCCAAGGCAGTAATGATTATCATAGAACTTTTCATAGAGCTTCCTTACATTGCTGCCTTCATCAGGAGGTCTGCTAAATTCGATAATTGAATTGTGCTTTGTTATAAATGATGTTTCTTCAACTTCCTTCTAGAATTGTCAAGCAATCCATCTCTGGCTTCAATCCTCATACCTGCTCATGCTCGAAATCAAGCCGCTGTTTCAACTCCTACCAATACTACAGCAGCCTCAGGTGAGGTCATATTTATATTAGCATATTTTTTCTTGGTGTGCAGTTCTTCCACCCACAATCTTCAGTGACACAAATGCTGACCATCCCAGTGTTGTTACCACTATTAAATCTTGAATCAATACATTTTATAGATTTATCATAAATCTCTAATATAAAGGTTTAGAAAATTACATGCAGATTTAGTGTTGCTTGTCCAGCATCATAGATGAGGACTCAGCACCATTAGTTCCATTAAAACTAAGTGTGGTGTGTCCAAAGATGAGTGGTCAGGCCAATTCGGGCATGGAATGTCCTGCCACATGTTGGGCAAACAGGTAGACATTGGAATTGTTGTCCTGATAGCGCTAGACTTGCACAGCTAGCAAGATGTAGGTAAACAAGCTTAATTACTAAGTCTGCAGCCAGTGCTGAAGCCATGCTGGGGTTCTTCAATCTAACTAGATTAATTATTTTCATAGCCTTGCTTCCTTTTGGTCATCTTTTGAATCTGATGTGGACCTTCATTTTTGAGACAACTTGTGACCTGTCCAACAGTCAGCACCACACATGTCCTTAATTACTCTGACATCCTGCCTTTCTTTTCTCCTGACAATGACATAATCAATAAAATGCCAAACTTAGAGTGAAGGTGCATCTAGGAGGTCTTGTTATGGTAGGCAAACAGAAAGTTGTTGCTGTTTGCATTAAAGTTGCCAAACAAACTGAGAGTTGGGCATCTAATTCTTCATAGAACATTTGTCTCTTGGGGTTAGTCATTGTGGGAGACATAGGCACTGATCAGAATAGCTATAGTGGTAACTGCAGTGTTTCCAAACAAAATGACTTCTATCAACCACTTCCAGCCCAACTCCAGCATCACAACACTCATCATTGCCATGATTGCAGGAAAAAGTGTACCTTCAATTCCACCTTCAATTCCAGCCAGCTGACCTTTGTTGAGAAGAAGAGTCTTACTCAGGGCTGCACTGTATCTTGCAAGCTCTCTGGCAACTAAAGCTGTTCCTAGCATGAACATATTCAAGTGACAATGGTGAGAGGTATCTTATGTTTGTTCAACCACCAAGATGGGATCCCCACTAGTTGTGGTGAACTGACCAATGTATAGTGAAGCAGGGAAAGTTTGGGGCACCTATTCTAGTTCCATCTTCATACTATGAAGGTGAGCAGTGCATTCCTAAAAAAGACTGCTAACTCACCTAGGCAAATACTGGGTTTCAATGCTGCTTTGGTCAGTGAAAAGTGACTATTAGACCCGAATTGCTTGTGTGCAGGTCCCTGACAACAGCTTCCAGTGTATTCGTGTTTAGTGCTTTGTCACTCACTCATCGCTTCAGAACTTCTTTATTTTTACTCTTTTGAAGAGCAGTCATGATGATGATGATATTGAGACTGGTGCATAATTCTGATTTAAGTGAAGGAGAAGTGCACAGTGTCAGCCTCACTCTCTCTTCCCAGTTCCCATCTGAGTCGAGACAATCAGACATAGGACTAAGCACAATGGATGACCAGAACATCATCTGTGCCTTGTTGTGCTTTTCATAAGAAACAAGAAAATTTTATCTAAATCAAGTGGCAGCAACCAACAACCTTTACATCCTATCTCTCCCCCTTTCTCTCTTCCCCCTTCCTCTCTCGTGATTCATTTAGTGATCATTTTGTCCAAACTAATTGTGGTTCTTAAACAAAGGACTTCCTAATGCATCTTCCACCCTAAAATGACAAATTTTGTGTTCTGCTTTGAGATCTGCTACCACTGAACTGAAGCAGAGTTTGCGGGATCTAGATATCCAGAATGACAGAGCCAAAGTCTCCCATCCTTTTATAGTATGATTGTTCCTTCTCCCTGGACTGTCCCTAGATACTTATTTAATATTTTATACCCTCCACATAAGAGACTATTTACTTTCATTCATAACCTATTAGAACAACAACAATATATAAACCTCCCATATAAAAGCAAAACATGATGTTCAGACTTGACAAAGATAGACTCTATCTCACAAGTGCTTTTAAAGTGTTCATTGTACACCCAGTGGTGATCAAGTTTAATATTTCCAGTTGTTAACAGTTCTTAGTTGCCATTGTTACCAAGATGTCATTACCCTTCTCCTGGGTGATCACTGTTCAGAAACCTCTATAAAGATGGCAAAACTCTTTATCAATAGCTATAGTTGTTAGACGTTATCTGGTTCTTTCGTCATGTTATTAATTGATAGCTGATCTTCTAGAATGTTCTCATAATTTTATATTTTCCTTTTAAAGTTATTATATTGTATGTTCTTTTTTGTGTGATTGGTTTTGGGACCATAAGTGAATTATAAAATAGTTATGAAAAAGTGAAAATAAGTAGGCAACAGTAAGCAATTGTAAACACACTTCTAGTAGGTACTATTTTGTTTCAAAAACAACGTTAAAATGCTATAAAATGTTCTTTTAAGTGCTAATCACAAAAAGCTCTCTAAAATATTTATTCAGATTTAACAAAATGTTATCCTTCCTGGGTGTAGTTTTTCTGTGTTAGGGCATAGTGCAAAAGAACTTTAACTGTACATTTTAGAAACAGAGATAAGGCAGCCTAAGCAAAGGGAACAGAGATAAAATAAACTTTTCCAATATATTTCTTGTATAAAAGCTTTTATTAAAGCAGTTGTCTAGTTTTGCTCAGCATAATTTAGGATCCCCAAAAGGCCCATCCCTTCTTTAATTCTATTGTACTTCTAGCAACAACAGCCATGGAGCCTTTTCTGACTTCAATATTCAACTCTTTTGAGACTTTTGTAACAGCAGCAACAATTCTGTTGGAAATTTTACTGACTGAAGCAATATAAACGTAAACTATAATAACATTTGGCACAATAATAAAAGAAGCTATGCAGTAACCTGGATATAAAATATTTCAAGAAGTGCTTGAGTGTACAAGACCAATGTAAGATTTTGTTTTTCTCATATACTTAGCAATGAGATAGAGATGTGACAATTAAAAGGATAATTGAAAGAAGAAATCAGGTCATTTACTTAACTGCATTAATATAGTAGGCTCAACTGAAATAGTTGCCTTCCTACAAACATGTTTCATCCTTAAGATGGTGATAGTATAAAAGATTTTAGCACACCTTCAAATTATGTGCCGAGTTGTAAAACAGATGACATACCCTCTGAATCAGTAATTTCTGCTTCTCAAAAAGAGAACCTGCTTTTTCTGCTGCTAAAGCACCTTTAGAAGAAAGTCATTTTGCAGATAACAGCCATTTTCCCCTCCTAAATTAAGATAATTATTTTATGAAATTACTTTTCAGAAACAGTTAAGTCCTTTTTTCTTTTTTCTGGAATCAATGATTGATTGACTGATGCATGATATCAAGTTAATGTCAACTCGTGGTGATCACATAGACAGACCTCCTCCAGAAATTTCCAAAAGATCTCCAAACTCAGAAAGAAGTTTCAATCTCAAATTGGTATTTTAAATACCTTCAAGATGGAAGGAGTGTACTGAAATTCTGTGCATACGTACACACACATGCACACGCATGTGCACACATACACATACACACACCATAGAAAGGAACGTCTGTTCATTGCACAATTTCACATGCATAACCCTACATGAGAAAAAGCAAGAAGTTCATGCTGATTTTGAGAGGCCTGAAAAGGCCACTGGGAGACTGAAAGGCCAGGCTGGGGCAGAATATTCTGGAGATCTTTTGGAAAACTCATTATTTATCCAAGTCTGACTCCATCTTACAGTGCCTTTAGAAATGTCATTATAATATTGCTTGTCACTTACAACCTCTTTTGAAACTCTTTTTTAAGTTTCTTCTGGAAACCATCCTTTTTATGTTTTGCTTTTTGTCTGTTTCTAGCAATATCCATTGTTTCTTTTTAGTAGATTAGTGGATCGAAGAAATGCTGTGGACATAGTTTAGTTAAATTTCAGTAAGGCATTTGACAAAGTTGACCACAACTTACTTCTTGATAAGATAGAAAAATGTGGAATAGATAGCATCACCATTAGATGGATTTACAAGTGACTGACCAGTTGCACTGAATGTGAGATCTTCAATGGAACTACATGTACATCAGTGGTTCCCAATGTGGGTCCCATGCCCCACAGGGGGGCAATTTGATTTTTAACAGGGGCAATTTGAACCTTGTTTAAACCAAGTTAATGGCCTTTTAGGCTTCCTTCGTGTGAGTAGAGTTCACTTTTTGAGTAAAGTAAGAATTATATGTTAAGGTGGGGGAGGGGGGCATCAGGATTTTAGATGGGGCATGGCCCAAAAAAGGTTGGGAACCACTGATCTATATGGAGGGAAGCATGCATTGGGGTACCTCAAGTCTCTGTTTTAGGCCAGTGCTCTTCAACATCTTCATAAACAATCTAGATGAGGGGATAGAAGGGGAGCTCATCAAATTTGCAGCCACCTAGCCAGGGAGAATTGCCAACACTTTAGAATATTCAAGATTCAGAAGCATCTTGACAACTTGAGCATTGGGGCCATATCCAACAACTTTCAGTTCAATGGTGAAAAAAGTAAGATCCTACACCTAGACAGAAAAAATCAAATGCATACTCAGGTATAGAATAGGGTCTCCTGCTTGGGCGGGGGGTTGGACTAGATGACCTACAAGGTCCCTTCCAACTCTGTTAATCTAAATCTAAATCTAAATGGAGCACAAGAAAGTAAAATTGAGTTTAATTGGTACAAGGAGTTGGAAGAGAGCTCAGTTACAATACCAAAATACGATCAAGAACACAACATGAACAAATCACAAACTGTTCATAACAAGTTCCAAGTAAAGTGGAAGAACAAAGCCAACCAGTTTCCATGATTATAATCTTGAGTATATGATCCAGTATTTTTAAAAAAACATCAGGAATCACTCATGTCCTGAACCTCATTGATTGGGAACCAGAAGAAATGCAGAACGATAGTAAAGCAGTTGTTATGGATAAATTTGAGAAAGAGTAGAGAAAACTGAGAAACAAAAAACAAAATCAG